CAGCTAACAGTTTTCAGAGGTAATCTAGTTTCCTGGCATTTAGGTAGAGAAGACACACCTACTCATATTGTAGAGAGAATGTTTTCTGCACATATGATATATGAAATGTGAATCGGTAAAGTAAGAATTCAGTAAAAATAATGAAAATTTCAAATTTCAGTAACAGGAAATTTTTTCTATAAAGAGGGCAGAATTGGATCTCTAAAAATAAGAAGCATATTTTAATAATTTTGTTATTCATTACTGTAATGCTTTAAATCTATCAATGTATCTTATTTACTTAAATATTTTTATGTGATAAATTATTTTCCACAGCTATATTGAAATTTTTGTGATGTGTATCTTACTTTTCTAAGGGTAACAAAAATCATTATTTTGTTTTAGATAAACAAAAATTATTCTGGCATTATTCACTGTTGTTTTAATGATCATATATAGCACAAATATTCCAGAAATTAGATTTTATTTTAGAAGGTTCCTACTGAAGTTTCCTATTGATTTATGCTTTATTTAGTAGTGAAAGAAATGAAGAAAATGCTTGCAATTTTGCATGGCATCAAGATCTCTTATTGTTATGACTGATGTAAATAAGTTTTTTCACTAATATTCTATAGAGTAATTGAAAATGAGATAGCAATATCATAAAACATTAAAAAATAGGAAATATACTTTACATGCTTATTAAAAACTTTAATGCATCTATTTTTAAATCAATATTTTATTTTTTTCTCAAAATGAAAAAAATCTGCACTCTTATGGAAAAGTGCAGGTGCTGTGCTAAATTAAAATACTTCTGTCTTTTGAAACATAATAAAAATATATTTAATACACTGAAGAACATCAGCATTGTAAGAAAATTCTCATTTTGGCTGCATCCAACAGTGTGTGTTCAGTATTTTCTATATAGTAATTACTATAAATGTATATTACTATATAGTCTATATAGTAATTACTATAAGTAATTACTATAATTACACACAAGTGTGCAATGTTAGTGTGCCTTGGTTTCTAATAACACAGTGACTATTGGTGATGGAAAAAGCCCAACAATTTTGGAATTTCCAGTGGAGAAAATACTGAAATCTTCACACTTACATTTATGACAATTTCTAAAAATAGAGACTTTCTTGGAAAGTTCATACAGACATAAACATGGCAGACTGGAACTTGGTCTGTTGGAGGATTGCCCTGGTAGTTGAAGGATTGCCCTGGTAAAGCAGAGGTCCCCTTGTTCATTCTACATGCATTTCCCACTTTAAACTCTTTTTTTAAATAAAATAAAAATGGAAGACCACAAGTCTCAATCAAAAACACTTTGATCAGTCTATAAATCTTCTCTGACAACAGAATTCTCTTAACTCCAGCCAACAGCAATGTGTTAGTAGCTCTTCACTTCTTAAATATAGTACTTTATAAAGACACAATATCTGAAAGAGCTTACTTCAGTATCAGAAACAGCATAACTATTAACATAGCTTTCTTGTCGGGTTAATGAACCTTGCTTGTTAATCAGGCTAATTAGCTTGCTTTCTTCAGATCCAACCAAATGGCTACACCACACAGTACAGTGAAGAATCCAGCCTTTCATCCAACATGTTCGCATTCTCATTGGGGCAGTTACGCATTTCCAGACACAACACTATATATCATGTGTAACCGCATGAGCTTTTGAAAAAATATATATCTTGATAATAAAAATTCCTACTATTACATCCACTTTACATCCACTTCATAAAGAAACTGTATAAGATAAAAGAAGATACAAAACACTCTTTCCTTTCAAAATATATAGGTTTACTATTTATGCAGCATCTCTTCACTATTAAACCATGCCAAGATCCTTCATTAAGCTATCTTCACCCACTGCTAATACAAAACTCTTTAGGAGTCCTTCCAGATTTATCTTAGCTTAGCATTGAGAGTTTCTGAAGGGAAAACTAAAAGGAAATTAATCCTTTTCCTTCTAAATTGAACGTAACGATAACTTATGCTCTCATATCCCCAAATAAATGGCGTTTCTGTTATGGCTTAATTTGAAGAAAAAACTCATTAAATTTTAATGTATGTAACTCCTAACTATGATCACCTTTAAATATTTTAGTTGAAATTACAAAATAGTGCTGCTCACTTTTGACATGGCAGAGGTGATACTGACATATTTCTTGCTCAGCAAAGGTATCTTAAGCTGTATCTAGTAAAATAGAGTTACAATTCCTCATAAAATAATAATTTAAATAAAAATAGAAATAGAACCTCCACTGCATATAGAGGAAAGCTCTTTATGTTCATTATTTGATAATATGAAAAGTCTATTTCGGGAAGACATCACCATGCACTTAAAAATAAGATGCAGCCAGAGACTGTTTCAGACAACAGCAGGCAAAGCAGAAAAGTGGAAAGATAACAGCCACCTACTTAATGAATAAAAATGTATTACAAAGGAAAACAGGCAGTGAAAAACAAGTTATTGGTGGTCTAGTCAGACAGACAGTTACAGATACAAGTATTTTAATTTACAAGAACTTGATCATTAGGGTATATCCAAATTCTCTGTGCTTCCTTGTATTTTGTTACTGAATACATGTGATTTATTAAATGTTTTTATTATTTATTTATTTACTTTTACTTACTTGCTAAAAACCAGCAACTACAGATCCTCTGATAAGCAAAACTTATTTTTTTCAGAAATCCAATATGACACTGGTTGTCAGTTTAAAGTATGGAGGCATAAATTGTCATTTTTCACTTAAGGATTAGCTTGAGTTAGCTGCCTTATCTTTTGAAGTGATACTCTTGTTAGAATGAAGCTAGCAGTAAAAATATCTAGTAATGTAGCGACTTTGTTTTCAGGCAATTTACAGACATTATCTATTTAATCATTGCAATATCTTTGTGAGATGGTTACATTTGTTTATTTATACCTTCACCTAGAGAATATGAACTGGGATATTAATTAATTTACCCAAGGGCACAAAGGGAATCTGTATCGCATTTAGATTAAAATCCTCCTCTTTTCAGCTCATTGTTAGGTATGCACACCACTACACAATTTTCCCCCTCTCTAATTCAGCTTGCCATCATATTAATATGTAGCTGCAAATAGTAATGTAGAAAGTCGTAACTCTTTTCAAAAATAACTAGTCATTTCTACAGATAACCTCTGGTTCACTGTGAGTTACTTGATCCTTTGACTGATGATGATGAAGAATCACTGCTATCCACAGTATTTTAGTAGAGTCAATAGAATGAAACTCATAGTGTATGTGTGTCCATTACATAAACCTCATTGTTCCAGATGAATACCTGGATTAACCTCAGAGGCACAACACAAAGGAATGAATAGTCACAGACACTCAAACCATACATGCACACACACACCAAGAATGATAATAAAAATTAATTGGATAAGGCCTCTCTAGAGAGTGACTAACTTTTCTTTAAAGAAAGAGGCACAAACGACCTCCTAAGACAACGTCACAACAATTTTCTTTCCTATCACTGACACACATTTTGCTGGGTGAAAGAGATCTTCTTTCAGATCTGTGGAAGGAGGTGCAGGATCTTTGTGTCTAAAATCCACTGTATGTAAGTGTTAGGGAACACCAATGGGAGTTAAACATGGGATAGCAAAGCAGTGCCTTGAATGTGAGAATCTCCATCTCAGAAGAACAAAGGAGATAACGTTTGTGTTAATGTTTAGCTACAGCCCTTATTCAGTAAAACACTTGAACACATGCCTTCATTTGTCCCAAAGAAGCAACAAACATGAAAACATCATCTTACCTTTGAAGTTATAACTCAGTATTGTCTTCAGTTCCCAGCTCAGCAGGATACCATCCTTACAGCATTTAAGGATCTCTTGATATTAAGTACATTAAATTCCTCTTGAAATCAGTTGCTTTGCTTGAGAGGGATGGCTGGACACTTGTGTTTCACTACTCTGACATTTCCAGGTTTTACTGATCACTATCAGTTTCTCTTCTAAACACCCCTGTAGTGTAAGCCTTCTTAGACCATGACTGTATAAAATTAGTTTTTCTGACCTTATTTTCCATAGTAACAATGAGCTCGTAAATGCATGTGTCAAAAACAAAAACCTTTTTAGAATTTATCAGTAATTTCTTATCCATATTTATGAATGAACTTACCAGTTGTTAAATCTCTATCCCAGCCTCCTTTGGCAACAATGATTATAAAAAATGGAGAAAACCTCTTGGTCAAAGGATTTCTAAGGTCAGAAATTTCTAGGCCACCCTTTTCTATGTTTTCTTAGTCAACATACGATAACATGCAAAATCCCAAATTATACAATGTGTATATAATTAGCAAAGCAAAATCTTCAATGTTGTATTTCTTTCTCCCTTTATTTTGCTGGGTCTTTTTACACCATGTGCTTAGTTCAGTTGCCACCTGACCTGATCCATCTTGGATGTCCCTTATATCATGTACCATATCTTCCAGCCTGATACCTGATATCTTGGATACTTAAGGGCACTTCAGATGGCACAAAGTGCACATGCTCAGGCACCAGTTTGAGGTCATACATACTTTAGAGCAGTTTTCAATTCTTTTAGGTGTGAGTAATGTGGCCAGCAGAACAGGATTCCAAAGACTGGAATTTTGGATGTTTGCTCAATTTCAATATATTTTGCTGCCTAAAACCTACACTTTTTTGAAGGAATGTGTTGCTATAAGATGTCTATAGAAATAGACACTAAATAATTGGAAATCTCCAGTTCTGTCATATTTCTTTACCAGTATGTTCCAGTACTACAAGTACTTTTTAATACAAGAAATCTGTTATTTATAAAAATTAGTCATAGGCAAATTGTCATGGACACTCATCGAGAAAATTTTCTTTTTTATTAGTCTAAATAACTACCTTTCAAAATGTAAGAATAATGTTTTCACCATACAAGACTTTATAGCACCCAAGTAACAAATATAGAACTCACACACTATGCCAAACTAGCAATTGTATAAAAACTATAAATGCTTACCAAAGGGGCAATTGCATTTGAAGCCATTTATCTCCTCTTCACAGGTTCCTCTGTTCCAACAGGGTCTGTCTAGACACTCATTCATGCGAACAGAACATGTTTCTCCTGAAATTTTAGATTAAAAAAAAAAAAGACAAATGTGCTGATGTGTTCAAATCATAGAGACATATTTGTAATGAAAAAAGACTATGGGATTGTCACAGTCTAAATGCTGACCCCACTGTCCAAGGTGCACTTACTGAGTACACAGGGATACTGATAGATATCCTGTCATGAATTTTTCTGCTTCATTGGTTACAAGACAGTCCATTTTGACAGGCAATGTTGGAAGCATGACAATCAGGAAAATAGAAAGCTTTCCTACTGAGGGTATGCATAATCCTGGAGCTTTTTTCCATTATACAAAATTACTATATTCAGGCAATTTTTGTTCAGTTGTGTCAATCGTTTTCTTTCATTTCACTCACTGTCTCCTTTGAAAAAGAATGGCAAAGTATCATTTCATATGAAAATCAGGCCAACACTAATTTACAGACAGTTATGTGTAACGGTAGAGTTCAGCTTATGTTCTACAGAAAGTTGTCAGTACTATGATACCAGATGTTTCTCTTTCTCCATGTAATACAAAAGAGGAGGACGATCAAGTCACTGAACAATATTTAATGAGGCAAAATACAGATGACAGGGAATGAAATAATTAAGAGCAAAGGTAAGAAGTATAGTGAAATTTAGATTTGTAATCTACAGTAGGGGTTGCTTTGATTTGTAACAGGAAAAGCTATTTCCAGCCACAGGAATATGGAGGCAAATCATACGTGCAGTACTTATCACAGGTCAGCAGTGTACAAAGCATGCTGGGCTTTCTGTGAACCTCACAGAAGAAGATAAAACCAAAACGAATGCTGAAATTCCTCTGAATTCTTTGCACTGTGGAAAATATTTGGTCTCTTATCTGCAGCACACATACATGCCCTCTCATACAATCATATGAACCAAGACAGTCAGCTCTCAAAACCTGTATTTTGTGAATCTACTAGATATAAAAGACCTTCATTGGAGAAGCCCATAGTAACACTAAGGTTCTCTTCCACACATAAACTTATGACAGAGTGGCTCCTATTAGGGCTTTTTCCTGCCTCTAAACATGCTCTGCATTTTTCATAAGACTTCAAGATATCTGGATGAAAAGGGCGAGGCACAAGAAGATACCAGGAAGAGTTCAGGCAACTCAGTAAACTAAAAAGCTATCTACTAGCAGCAGCTGCTGAGTGCTGCTTAGAGTGTGCTGTGGCACCAGTGAGGAATACAGACAGTCAGGACTGGCCAAAATATAAATCCTTTTCTAAGTTCTTTTAATTTTTTTAAATTTTCTTTGAAGTGCTGATAAGGTAACAGCACTACGTGCAACTTTTCTGATCTAATTCTGATATTTTGCTTTCCTTATGTTTTCTAGTTCAGATCCGTTTCCACAGTTAAGTCCCTGATTATCGTAGGTCTCTCTTGAGGAAGATAAATGGAAACGCACTGGCATCTGTTTTCTTCTTCTGCATAGACAAGTGGAGAGTAGCGCAGAGTTTCTTCTAGAAGTAAATTATCTGGCCACAATCCATGGGTAAAACTGTAGCATATACAAGAAAAACTCCTTGAAACAGATTCTTTCACCTCCCTTGAGCTGTTGTGTACTCCTAATAGATAAAAGGTTAAAATAAAGCAAATGCTTTATTTATTCCCCAAATTCTAAGGGAAATAAGGGAATGAGATCATCTTCATTTACTCACGATATCCAAGATTTGTGAACTTCTTACTGCCTTTTTGTGAAGATGAAGATGGCTCTGTTTTGCTCTTGAAGCAGCAAAGGTATCTTACTGAACTGGGTAGTACCATAATTTTAAGACATGGCTGTAACAGGTGTAACTACAATTCCTTGTGAACTGTTCTTATCCATCTTCTTTGAATTTCTTTTCTTTTTGGGGTAGGAAATTGGGTGTGGCATTCAGCAGGAAAATGAGTCAACTACATGTAGGCTTCTGACTACAGAGCTATACTTTAAAACTGAGCATTTAGGGTGAAATTAAGTTCCCTAAATGTCAGTATCTAATGCAATATAGGATATCCGATACTCAGTCTCAGGAAAATAGTCCTTAGGTGATGCAATGGACAATAAGCAGAGACAGTTGCAATGGTTTTATAACGGTACCATAAATTGGTCGTTCAGGCTGGAAATCCTGATGGGATGGTAGGAAACAAGAGAAAAGAACAAAGACACAGAGGGCAGCTTTCAACTGAGGACTATTTCCAAAAAGGAACAAAAATTAGCATGTACTGGGCAAGGTGAACACTTTGAGGAATTCAAAAGCAAAATGACACCTGACCAAAAGGTTAATTCTGTGGCCATGTTTTGACTGAACTATATGAAATGATACAACACCTGGGGAGTCCTGAGAAGATGATGAAATAATGAAGGCTAGAGGAATTTGGGACATGAGATGAACATTGGAGCTTTAGCTGTGTTGAGGAGTAGTGACAAGTGACACAGTGATTGTGTGTAGAAAAGGTGAGACAGGAGTCAAAGCCATTCTCCCATTCCAAGTCTGACAGGAAGCATAATGATTCTATCAATATGAGAAAGGATGCAGAAAAAGGTAGTTTATTTTGCATCTTCATTTGGAAGAAAAGAAGTATCTGCTATAATGTATAGCTAGGAAATTCTCACCAGTGGCATCAGAAAACGAATTTCATTTCTGATATCATGTCACTAACCCACCTTATTTTAAGACTTCAATGAATACAGGTTTTCTTAATGTATTAATCTATATTGCAACACTCCATAGATTAAAAGATTTAGTTCTAATTTAGACAATTAATCCCAAATGTCTAAACTAATGCTGTACAGTAGAGATATACAAGCTACACTTCTTTAACAGAAAACTATCTGGTTTCAGGTATTTTGCTTTTATTTACCTATGGCCATGTTAGATGTGTATGAATTCCATTCTTTATTTAGGAGAACAAGGAAATGGGGAAAAAATCCCTACTCTGAAAACAAAAGTGCTGATTTTATGCTGAAGGCTGTTATTACAACTAAATTACTTCAGTTGACAAAGAAACAATTACATGCCACTCAGCCTCATCTGAGTTATCAAGCACTGAGAATACCTTTCTCATAACTGATGAAAATATTTGCGAAAAACACTGACTGATTTACAAGTTGTGTTAGCTAACAGTACTTGCAGAATGATTTAGAAAGATATCAAACTTTCTGAAATATTTCAGTTGAAAATGCTGTTAACACATTAAATACAGATAGTTCACTATTTTTTTTCCTGACAAACTTGCCGTACTGTTGACATACACAGATAAGACTTTAGTTTCTATGCATCTCTGTTACCATTCCTTCAAGATCACTTTTTTTGCTATCTAGCCACTGAAAAATATACTATTTACAGATATGAAAAAATTATATTATTTTTCATCTAAAAGTTAACAGTGCGGTTTTGGTAATTCTGTACATCTCCAAAAAGGCTAGGAGAATAACATTTTTTTCCTATGAATCATGTTAAAACTTGGAAACGCCTTCATGTTTTAGTGCAATTTCTGCCAATCAAATGCATATGTAGTGAAAAGAAAGGCAATTGATTTTTTGTGTACTGTAGACAATAACTAGCTCTTCTGGTTATGTGCATAACATGGAGTGCCTTTAAACTGGTAGTTGCACCTGACAAAAGGCATGTCCCAAAACTTCTTGCAAACAGTTGCTAGGGTAATTTAAGAATTCATGTCCTCAGAGTACAAAGGCAATATATGGACAGTATTTTTTTAAATGTTTCAGAAAGAATCAAAGAATCGATGAAACTACTGTGAGACCATATTTTCTGAGTATTCGAGACATGAATATGCTGGACATGTACAGAGAAGACTTTTTTTTTCAGTATGCAGCTAATCTTTGAAATGGATGATGAGAACCTTCTTTGAACATCAGATAAAAATCACTAATTGGCTACAAATTACTTTCAACATCAAAGTATGTTAATATAAATATTTTCTGGGTTTACATTTTTAAGGTTAATATTAATACAACACATCCAAACATAATTAGTAGTAAAATGTAATATTTAATTAGTTATTTAATAAATCATAGCTTAGGGTCTGAATTCCTAAACATTTCTAGGGATCATGTCACCAAATTCTGAAGTACAAAGAGAATGTTAAAACTGATCATGAGCCGATTCTACTTCTATTAACTCTATAGCGTGTTTTACCCTGTATAAATTTACAGTGTTCTTAAAATATATAACAAATAATTGCAGTTGCTTAGGAAAGTCTGTCACTTTTGCAAATTGCATGGCCTGATGTTTAATAGTAACATTTTTGACAGGCACATTGATGATACGCAAGGGACAGATTATTCTGCAGGAGCATAAAAGTCTTGAGAAGAGCCTAAGGACCTGAGTAGGTGCGTGCTAAAAGATTTGGCAAAGGTATTTAACCCTCCACCAGCGTTACTGATGTAACTTACTCTGTTTAAAAAAATCATACTATTTTAGCAAATGGAGAGGTTCTGAAGTTTTCAGGTAAATAAAACTGGAGATCAAAGACAACAAAGAAATATTTCTTTTCATAAGTATAATGAATGAAGCTTCACTGAATATTCCTTCACTCCAAAAGCAAGAGCAACTCTGTAAGATCACTAGATTGAAAGTTTGCACCTTTCAGTTGTTCAAACTTTGGATGTTTTATTTCTGTTTAACTTAAAGAGCTTAACTTCACACTTTATCTGAACTAATTGAACTATTTTTAGATTTTGCAGAATATCCACAAAACTCATTTTTGGTTTGTTATCAGAATAAGTTTAACTTCATATCATTCTCAAATATAATATTCAGACATTAGAATAAAACTGGAATTGATTTGAGAGCTTATTTTCTCAATGTAATACACATTATATATAAGTATCTCTTATTAATTGCAACCACTATTATTAACACCTCTGTCTGAATTACAAAACACATGCAAAAATGTCAAAATACAAAGTTTCATTAGCATACTGTTTATACCAACCTTTGTTTTATAGGCATGATGGAATATAAAGTTTGACAATGCAAAGG